CCAAAAATGGCAACAATTCCTTGGGTCTTCAAAAGCTTTCTCTGGTCTTGAGACAGCTCCTTGGCTGTGGTTTGAAGCAGGCCCTGGATTAGCTGGACTCCCCCAAAGACTCGGCACCACGGGGTGCTGACTGCAGGCTTCTGCATCATGGTGACCACCAGGTTTGATCAGACGCTCTATGCGTCTCACTGGTGACCTGCATTCCCTTGGCATTCACCTTTCTCGGCTACACCAGTGGTACCTGCAGCCCTACCTCAACCTTCCTCTGGCTACAGGAACATGCTGAGCCTGTATGTGGGACAGGCTGGAAGTCCAGGAAGGCGACAACTAGGAGCAGCGCTCAGCAATATGGAGAGGAGCTGGAGGACCAACGCCTCAGCCACCTCAGCAGCAGGACAACCTGGAGGTTACGCTGGGTGTGGTCCCCGAGAGGTCCCCAGCAGGATTAAACCCCCATGTCCAGAGCAGAGACCAGCTGACCCTAGGACCCCTGTCCTCTCCGCCTCACTTCTCCACTCTGCCACGAGTGCTTCCCAAGATCAACTCCCAAGTGAGCTTGCACACAAATCTGCGTCATAAAATAAGCTCAGGAGAACCCAACCTAATGTAATGTTGCATAGTAGTCGTATTTACTTTATTGACACACCTTTACCCATTGCAACCCATGTGATGTCCCTTAGCTTAACCTGAGTCTCTGGATCTGTCTAACATACGGGTGACTTCATGTCCCACATCACTGAGCGGGAGGGCCTCAGAATTATGGCTAGTCATTTATTTTAGATCCAAGCAGCTAACAGAACTGTACTAGGTGAATAGGAAACTACTAAGACGGGAATGTGACACGACTTCACTGGACTGCTGATCTCCTCCCCACAAAGAACCTGCTCCAGCTTGGCCCGGAGCAAACAGCCGGCCCTGATGTCTAACTGCCCAGGCCACGTCGCTGGCCTCATGACGGACCCCTTTCTCTCTCACACACTTGACTGGGTTTATTGTGAGTCCTGGTGCCTCTTCTATCGAAATATATCCCAAGTCTGACCACTTGGCATCACCTGCTCTGCTGCGTGCTGGTCCGGGGCCCTGGCGCCTCTCACGGGGACAGTGCCAGAGCCTCCTGCCATGTCCCCATCGGCCCTCAGCTCTCTGCAGTCTAATCTGGGGGCGGCAAACTTTTTCTGTAAAGCACCAGATAATAAATGCGTTAGGCTTGGCAGTCTTACAGTTTGTATCACAATCACTCAACTTTGCCCTTGTAGCACATAAACAGCCATAGATAATAAATAAGCAAACATACGCTGAGATTTTAATTTTACATAATTTTTATGTACCACAAAATATTACTACTTTTCATCAACTATTTAGAAATTTAAAGACCCTTCTTATCTCTCAGGCTGGGCCAGATTTGGGCCACAGGCGGTAGCTTGCCTACCTCTCTCTGGGCTAATCACCTAATGACAGGCCAGCGTCTAAAACCGCGGGTGATGTCATTCCTCGAAGGTGGCACCTTCCCATGGCTTCTCGCCATCCGCAGCCTAACAGGGAAAGTCCCTCACAGGCTCGGCCCCAGCCCTTGCCCCTCCTGCTTTGCTGGGTTCCATAGCATCTGCACCTGCACCCTAAAACTGGAATGGAAGTTCCATGAGGCAAGAGATGTTATGTCCCCAACTCCCGAGACAGTGTCTGACGTGTAGTAAGTGCTCCGTGAAGGTTTGTTAAGTGAATGAATGAGTGAGTGAGTGAGTGAGTGAGCGAGTGACTCGTTCCCACTCTTCTGCTATTGTTGGTGGGAAATGAGTGCGGGAATTGCTGCATGTCTCGGTAGAAACACCCTGTAAACGCTGGATTCAGACAATTAACCCCCCTCGGGCCTTTAAACCCGCTTGAGACCTGAAGAGGACTGGCCATTGCTTCATCTATGCTCTCCCGGGTTTGATTAGCCATAGTGACACAGAGAGATACACATCACTGTCATCACTGCTGCTGTATTTGACTCCTG